GATGATTATTTTGCAAAGTAAAAGAAAAGTAGAAAAATAACCCGATAAACAATACACCAAAATCTTCAACAGTTTTAAGATTTCCAGCTTTATGTATAAAGAAAAACTGATGTGACCACGAAACAGTCTCCGCTGTTCCACACGAATCAGGTCAGTCATCCCTTAAACGTACTACCTCCCTGTATATAAATAGGTTTTGAAATGAGGAGTAACTATTAAGGGCAACGATACTCAACACGATAAGCCTGTTTAATCTGATCCAAGATTATTGATCGCATGTTCTAAAGGCGGAGTTCCAAGTTGAATGTGCACTGTACATCTATGATTGACTTGAAATGAGATGGTATTATCGGCATAAAACTCAGCTGAAATTATATTAAAATTCACAAGAAAAAACGAAACTTTATCGAGGCGACATAGACCCTACGATTCAATAATCAGGGAAGTCAAATATCTACTGAGCTTGAGGTGACAATCTTTGTCGACAAAGATACCAGACACAAAACTGGTCGCCCGGTCCTCAAATTTCCAATCGGTCGGTACCAACTTTTACCGGATCTCTTCGCATGAACGAGGCGGGTTTCACGTAAACAATATAACGATAAAGATTGATGCGGACTTTCAATAGCTGATCTTTTATGGCGATTCTACGCAATAGTAATTTATAGCGTGAATATATAGAAATATAATCGGCAGCGGACGTTTTTGAGAAAGTATTGAGAGCAGAGAAATGAATTGAATTGCCTTTGTGGCGGAATACGATTTCTGTAATTTGAACGTTGAGATGATTAATACCTCTTAACTAAGACAGAAATGCGTCTTAAGAGTTCGATGAGTATATCGAACTTGTAAGACACATTTCTGTATTCAGTAAATAGTAGTCAAACGGTAGAATAATTTGTTTCAATTAAGTAATATTAGATGAAAACTTGCTATTTCTTGTTAGTAATTCTTTACCAAACAAATCGAGGAAATACGTTTCAACTTAATTAACTTGTATTCTCCTAAGCATTTTAGTTTCACAATTATATGAGAGAGTGGCCCACAATGATGGTAACCGATCATTGCCGCCCATGGACCGAAGCAAAATAGGCTCTCTTGTTGTACTCTTATAATTTGCTCAATTGCTTGAATTTAGACTGTTAACTTTAGATTGCCTGAAAGCTTTTGTGCTACTAACGGACAGTGGTATATATAATAGGTGACAAACGACCACTTAGGTGACAACAGATGAATTATTTTAGGCCTATGATCAACTCATTGATGGATATGGAAATCAAAACAAAACGTACTTCAAGGAAGACTTTCGCATTTATTTTTAAAGCTTCTCGCTCGAAGGCGCTCCTGGAAAGATTTCTAAAGGACGTTCTCGAGGGCCCCTTAGTGTATGCCCCGATGAGGACGACATCGTATTTTTCCATCTACATCGATTACAGCGCAACTGGTCGCCTTGTAAAGTGCTGTCATATGCACTAGTGCTGGGACACGCCGCGGGCAATGAAGGCCCATTTCTTTAATCGAATCCATATTGGGCGGGAGGTTCAACGACTTGTAGACTGGATGCGTTGTTACGAATCCCATCAAATGCTATCTAGTTGCAACACACTTGTCAATGCAAATGAATGAGGTTCTGCGCTTATATGACATCGCTCACTTCGTCTAGCGAAATGAATGATGCCATATATCAACCCAGTTGTAACTCTGTTAGAAATGGGTTCTGTTTTAAGGGTTCCATACCCAAAGGGTAAAGGGACCCTATTACTAAGACTCCGCCGTCTGTTTATCTGACTGTCCGCCTGTCACCAGGCCGTATCTCATGAACCGTGATAGTTAGACAGTTGAAATTTTCACAGCTGATGTATTTCTGTTGCCGCCATAACAAAAAATACTAAAAACAAAGTAAAAAAAAACATTTAAGTGCCCATAAAACAGACATGGGCATTTTTTTTTTGCCATTTTTATACATAACGCTACGGAACCCTTCGTGCCCGAGTCCGAATCGCACTTGGCCGGACTTGGATGTTTTTCTTTTCGTGTTTTCTTTAAGTTCTTTCGCACGTCGTACAGACTCAAAATAGAGATAAAACGGTTGCGTGTTTAAGGGCACGTGTGTAAACTGTGCCCCCGTATTTGCCCGTCACTAAATGTCACTCGGGGTTTATTTATAGCCGGGGCGGGCGGCGGAGGCGGCTTCTCCGTCAGGTTTATTTCCCGACTTTTCCTCTACAACTCACCGCCGCTGATATACTTAGGAGTTTGCGTGAAACTAAAGTAAAAATATTAGTGTTAACGTGTATTTATAAGTATCTGTCTTCAGGTGGGGTTTTTTTGTCTGCTTTGAGACAATAAATGATTTAAATCATAGCAAGATTTTTTTTTATATGAGAATCATCCAAGTCTCTCTTTAGAACGAATGCCGAGCAAAGATTTAGATGTCAATTTAACATTCGATTTAAAATTAAACTACATAAAAGTTTAAATAATACTAATTTAAATATAATTCAATATTTCGCTTAAAAATTACGCCTCCTTAAGCGAGAGAATGAAAGTAATAACCTTTTTCTAAATGTTCCCGAAGCTATAAAACGTATGAAGAGATTTTACATATTAATTCAATACTTCATTGTTTTAAACTTCTTTATTCTAATCACTCAATAATAATAATAATAATAATAATATTTATAGGGTTTTCGCATAATGCCGTACACAAATTCTACCTATTTGGCCTTTTAACAAGGATTGTTTATAATTAATGAATAATGTGTAACGATCCGTTCCGATAATAGTGTTTCTTGACAATCAATAAGTAAGTGTAATACTTCTATATTGAATGAAGATTTTTGAATTTGATCCAACCGATCTGGAAGCCTCGGTTGCAGCAGATGGCCATGGGCGGCGGTATTCACTTAACATCAGGTGAACCGTCTGCACGCTTGGCAACTTTTCACATAAAAAAAAACAGGGCCACTCACAAACACTCTTTTTTTTTGAGTTTTTCTCAAAATAATTTGAAAATACTTTCTCAGGTAATAAGCCCAAGTCTCGGAGATTCCATCAAGGTTTTTCAGACTAACACCAGGAGAATTTTTAACTGGTTTGGTCAAAGCATGGTAAACGACAATCGTTGTACAGTTTTTGTCTATAAAAACTTAAAGAAACGAATGAAAGAAGCAATCTTTAATTTTATTCCTACTCTATGTTTAGAAACTGTTTACTAAGCTACCATCAGCGATATAATTTGATTAATGTTAATGACGTTATAATAATTTTTTCTCTGAAATATTACAGGAAATGTTTGAACTGGAACATATCCAGAACCAATCTTATATATAAAAATGGATTGCTGTTCGTTAGTCTAAACTCGAGAAAGACTGGACCGATTTGGCTAATTTTGGTTTTGAAATGTTTGTGGCAGTCCAGGGAAGGTTTAAACGATGAGAAATTATGGAAAAATTGCTTGGAAAATCGAAATAGCAACAATTTTATTTTCCCATACAAACTGTACCTGTCAACCTGTCAACTATGTCTGTCAAACACTTCCAAATTCCCTAGAAATAATTTATATGGCAAAACAACGTTTGCCAAGTCAGCTAGTAACGTATAAAATTAATGTTAGAAATAACATCGCTTTTTTTTGTAAAACATGGTGAGACTAAATTATTTTAAAGATTTGATTGCGTTTATTTTGTAGTTCAGACCCTTGTCTGTCACGTATCCATGTAAGAAAAATTTTTAATTTCAAAAATAAAAATCGCGTAACTAAACGATATTCTAGGTATTGCGTTTGTAAATTGTGAGTGTTTTGTACTGTTAGTCTAAATATAAGAAATTATTATAAAACGAAACGCGATAATTATATAGAAAAGTTACATAATATCGTCCTCTGTCTACTCTGTCTTATATATTTAATACATTTGCGAGCTTGTTATTGACATATAGAGTTACATCACCACTAGGTACAGCCATAATTCGATGGTGATTGCAAGAACAAATGTTTAAACACAGGTGTATTGAATTGATGAAAATAGCTACAGAACGGCATTGGGGGAGAACCGGAATGCAACAAAAAACTCAAAGAGACTGTGCTAACGCTCATTACAGTTCAAATATGATAAACTTTTACGGCTCCGAAAAGGTATGGCGACCGGGCGGCAATTAAAGTCTGTTGTTGAAAAAAAAACGGGCCAAGTGCGAGTCGGACTTGCGCACGAAGGGCTCCGTACCATTATCTATAAAACGGCAAAAAAATCATGTCCGTTGTAAGGGAGCTCAACTTAAATATAATTTTTTATTCTGTTTTTTAGTAGTTGATGTTGTAGCGGCAACAGAAATACATCATCTGTGAAAATTTCAACTGTCTAACTCAGGGGTGAGCAACCTGTTTAATCAACGGGCCAATTTAAATTTTTTTTTCCTCCTAATTTGGCCGCACATAATAATTTACGAAACTTTATTTATAATAAAATATAAAATTAAAAAAAAAAGATTTCATATACAAATTTTAATGCAAGGTAAAATAAAACAAACAAGAAAACAAACAAGAAAAGAACAAAAAAACGAACAAAAAATATTTCGGTTCAGTATGTACTACCATTTTATTATAATTAATTTTATAACAATATATTGATGGGAGAAATTCGATAAAATATTAAATAATTCAATTTTATAAATACTTGGCGGGCCGCATAAACACGTTTAACGGGACGCGCGTTGCTCATCCTTGCTAACTATTACGGTTCATGAGATACAGCGTGGTGATAGACAAACTGACAGACAGAGAGTGAAGTCTTAGTAAACGGAACCCGTTTTACCCTTTGGGTACGGAACCCTAAAAAACCGGTTCAACTGATGTTTCGTTAACCACTGCACAAAACCTATGGAGCAGGAGGTAGAGCAGCTATAAACAGCGTGGCCCACTCGTCTCACTCCCTACATCAAAATTAAATAGCTTCACTTTACTTTGGTCCATTCGGTTCGATTAAGTTGTGTTTAAATCAATAATGTGGCCGTATCTAACAGTCGTCGAGTGGAAGAAAGAGACGCACATATGGGTAAGAATAATAGAGTCGGTAAGGTAATGGTAATCGCGCAGCTCTTTAGTATCAACCCATACAAGTCACACTGCCTCAAAAAAAAGCAAAGACCACCACCGTACAGAGGGTGGATTAGTAGACTTCAGATATCTTCTGAATACTTTTACATCGAAAATATGCAGATTTCCTTATGATGTTCTCCCTCACCACGAGTTGGTTTGCTCAAGTAAAATGAAATAAATGCCATTTAAATTGACTGAGCTATCTAACACGGCCCTTATTCTTGAAGATTTTTAGGATATATTAACTCCCGAAGCAAGATATTAATATAATTTTATCCATATAAAACTAAAAATATATGATAGTAGAATGGTGACCGAGCACTTATTGCAGATAACGTGCCAATCGACAACTTAAGAAACGCGTGTTTACGCGCCGACTTTTTGCAAGATATCCGCCAACGGGCGAGTGGAAGCAATTACAGTTCTTAATCAAAAGCGATTGGGTATACTTTCAGTTGGCTTGCGACATGTTGACGGACTTGGCGGTCGGTGCATTGGACGGGTGCAACGACCTCTGTGACGCGCGTTCGCGCAATTGCTCGCGTCACGAGAAATCCCAACAATTACGCGGCCCTCTGCGGCGCCGAAATCTCACAGTGCCGGGAACGATATCGCAGTGTGCGCTGTTTTATTGTAGAGTTACTAAGCTAGCTTCTGCCCACTGGTTTGTCTGTTGTGACACGAGCGGCGGCATGTTACGTAACATGTGATTGCATTACTGAACGATCCATATAATTCATGCAAAGACTACGTATGTTAACAATGGCTATTTATCGTATTTATCACGACCAATTTGTTTTTGAATTCTCAACATTTCGAATACGTCCTTGGTCACGGAACTGCACGGCACTGTTTGTTGTGTTATTGAAACGCCTTGTAGGGTAGCAGAGATTTTATTTAATTCTACCCTCAACAGTTGTATCACATAGAGCCTGTGTGAAATGATCGATAAGTTATACATGAGGCATTCCACGCGAACACTAAACGTTATTCTACGCACGGTGCGATTTATACAAATACTGGGGTGTTATAATATTTTTTACAAAACCGTCACCCATCCCTTTGCCATGAGAGTAACATGAAGATAAAATTCCGCCTCTGTACACAAATCATTTTTGAAATAGAATTTAATAATACTAAATCTATTTTGAAAGTATTGTTCCCCGTCAATAATATTGATGTATCTTTTTGGACTAATGTTTTGATTTGAAGATATTGATGCTAAAGATTTCGAAAGGTATAAAAATTATCTGTCGTGATTTAAATTGTGCTATAGCATGACAATTCCTCCATAATTTAAGCTTTGCTCTTATCCTCAATCTGCAATAATACATTGATGTCAAATTTTAAAATGTTGAGTAAAAGTTATAAAATTGATTTTTATTGTTTGAATATATTATTTGAAGATTATTAAAAAATTGTTTTGGTGATTGATAAATTGTTTTTTTTTTTAATAAACATTAATCGAAACATAATAACGTCGTTGTATTGTAAATTTAAGTACATCTAAGTAAGATCAAATGATTTATTAAACTCAATTAGGTAAACAAAATATTCTGTTGGAAGTTATGTAATCTCGCGTTAGCTGGCAGAAGGCGCGACCCGGGCACCGGCGCTACCCTTCGACACTGTAGATGGCCTAGCTCCTAAAGGACTTCTCGGCCCATTACGAAACTTGGTAATGACCATCTATAGACTATTAGCAAGTTTTAGAAGAAAAATAAAAAAAATTAAAGTGGCCCAACTTTGTGAAATTCAAGTTTAAAAAGTTTGAACATGATTTTTTTCCAAAAAAAAAAATGTTTTTATTGCAAAATGCAATTAGAAAGCTCATTAAATTAAGCATATACTTCACTACTTCATTTATTTCCATTTATCTTTTCAATACCGGATAATGGGATTCGAAGTGGCGCATACCTGCCGGTTAGTCACATTTTTAAAGCACTCTAAATCGTAAACTACGTTTTATACTGTAAAAATATTTTGTATTACATGTTGGGGACACATATAGGTATAACATAATCAAATATTACTAAAATCGGAAACATCAACTTTTTTTACCTGTCCGCTTCGCGTGGAATGCCCCACATTATAGTGTGTGAAATGTTTCATTGATGATGAAAGATTTGATTCCATGTTCCAAAAACACTAAACAGTCCGAAAACACTAGAGCATTTATAAAGAATTTTTAAAATTATTAACACGGTACTAACTTAACAATGACCATTTTTTCATTAACTTAACTACGCTTTTGTCCAGTAAAGATATCTATTTAATAAAATCAATTAAAACGAACCGGGCTACCCTAAACAGTTACTAAAGTATAACCAATAAACATTCTATTTTGGGTGTTTTCAAACATCTTAATAACAAGTTTTTGACGTGAAAACTTCTATTGCACGTTGGGCTTTTATTTTGAATGTAAGGTTCGCGTCACCAATCGCTATTCACGTGTTTACCATTTACGATGTTGACGATGAACTTTGGTATCCTTTGGCGCGCATTTCAATAAATAAAATTCTATATGATACTAGCGTACCGAACAGACGTTGTCCTGTACACACGACGTAAATCCGACAACAACTTAAAAAAATTGTGAATATCAAACCATTCTCGAATCGACCTAGACACAAAAAATTTCATTAAAATCGGTCTTGTCGTTTAAGAGTTCAGTGACAACACATGTACAGAATAATTATGTGTATAAAGATTATAACAAATAATTAACTACTCAGAATTAATGTTTATTGGTTTAAATTGTCATAAATAGAACTTTTGAAACTTAACTAAATAAAAAATATAATTTAAAACAGAAGAATTAATATTAACAAATAGTTATATTTATTAAAGAAATTTTTAAAAACGGCAATAACTTAAAAAAAAAAAGTATCTGAAATTGTGGCTATCTCAAGCATTTGCAAGTTAAATATAATACATGAACGAAGTAAACCATTTACTACGTTTTTGTTCATAACGAATGCGATTATATCGCGTAAACAAAGATACAAATCAGTAAAAAAATCCGCAAAAAATATTAGACGTTTATTTCGGTTTAAAGCTGTCAAAAAAAATTTTCGTATCAGATAAGTAAAGGAACGAAAACGTGTTCTACAATACCATTTCGTTGCAAAGTTTTTATTTGTGTAATCAAGTTCGAAACAGCAAAAACATCTCACTTATACGATTATGCTGACAATGATAGGTTATTCAATGAAATAACAAAACCTACATCAGGTTAAAAATGTTGAAAAATTGAAACAAGAAGAAATACAAAAAGCGCACCAACATTCATCAGGTCGTTAGGTGTTGCCAAAATCGTTACAATCTGTGTGGTACGACCGCGTAAAATTTACTGTTGCACGAACCGGCAGACAGGTCTGGGGAAGTACCAAGACCTCATAGAAGACCGGCGTGTAGTACAAATATTATACTCATGCGCTTCGCCCGGTGAGGGAAGTCCCCGGTACCTCTCCCACTGAATTAAAAGGTGGCAACGCATCTGCATCGCTAACGCCCGAATTAATCATTCGAAATGATTATTATACGAATTGATTATTCTGGTCATTAAGAAGATCATTCTGATCAATTCGGATAGTTTAATGATCCTGTTGGCAACTCAAATAACATTTAAGAATGCCATTTGACAGCTGATTAGTTGACTTTTAAGATGATCAGCGTTTCGGAAACCGGCCGTTAGTATCTGATCAAGCTGACTGACAACGGCTGCTTTTATTATACAACAAATGTCATTTGGCTACAAATGAAAATGGTAACCGATAGCTGAAATAATATTCGAGGGAATTCTCTGTAAATGAGCCACGGCTCTGACTAGTACTGTACAAAGGAATTGTTATGGAAACATGGGACGTTGGGCTATTGAGATCGCTCGCCGAAGAGACAATAGTTTCTCATTATCCTGTAGTGACCAGACTATTCAGGTATGTTTAATGAAAATTGAAAAAAAAAAAAAAAAAGTGGTGTCCGTTATAAAGGCAGACGTCGAGTGGAACTCTGATTATGTTGATAAAGTTTCTATGTAAGTTCGAAGATTTTTTTTATATCCGTGGGTTGTTAGGCCTTTAACTATATATGTAAATCGGCATCGGCAGAAGAAACTTATGCATATCGAGACACTCAAATTACGTTAAAACCGGCTCCGTGCCTGCCTTTGAATACATGATATTAACCTACTATCACCAACACCGATGATAGAACGAGATATGTTAATATCCAAGATATCTATTGTATAACTAGGATATTTACATACAAATGTTCGTATCCAAACTATGGAGAGATGCGTCTCTTCTAGAACTTTCAATTGATTTAATCAAAACAATTCAACTGGCCTAATAGGGGCCGTAAGACAAGTCCATTTTTTTATTAACGAAAAACGAAACCGATGTCAAATATCTCGGTCTGTATTAATTTTATAATTGCATTTTCAGGAGTTCCGTCAGTATCTCCGGATCCCAAGATCCAATACCAATGAAATTAATATGGGAGAACACATGGGAAGCACCGGCTTACAAAATAAAAAAAAGAATCATTAAAATCGGATCGCTCAGTCGAAACTTCTGAAGTAACAAACATAAAAAAAATACACTCGAATTGAGATACTCCTCCTTTTTTAAAGTCGGTTAATAACAAGCCGCGCCACTAGCGGGCGTTAGCGATCTTTTGGCATTCATATGAGATGTTTAAACGAACAATTAACCGGCTAATACTGGTCGTAATGAATAACGATTATTTTCAAAATAAAAAAACAAAACTCGCCGCGTTCTGCGCAAGATTTTGTGCTTTACCCCGTGGGGATAAGGTCTAAATTCCGCGTATTTGCGGCGGAGGCACGCAGTTGCGTCTACCATTATAGCCCTGTTGGCTGTCTTAATAAAAATAAGAGTATACTAGGTTAAGAATGCGACAGTCGCATAACGTGGGTTCGCCTTGAGACGCGAGTCATTTTAAACGGGGCCACGACGAAAGAACACGAAATAACCATCACGTTTCCGGTCACACATAACGTACGCGCTTGATATGACGCTTAATTCAATCGGTTACTAGTTCAATTGAATCAAAAGTAAAATTTGCGAAGTTTTAATTGTAAACATTAAATTTTATGAATGATGTCCAAGTAAAGATTAAACAAAAATATTGTTTATGTAAACAATCTTCTCTCTTTCGAACTCTTTCGAAAATTGCACAGAAAATATGTCTTATTTATCTTCTATCTTAGGTTTTCGACAGGTTCCCGTATGTATAAATATTATAATGCATAATATGTCAAGTTTATAAACCAATTATTCTCATTGTTTTCACTGATATTTTATTAATAAAGAAAGATATTAGTAAGAAACTTCGTTAAGTGTACATGAAATAGCAACGAAAAAGGCTGAAAATTTATATTTTAGAATTACATATAAAATATATGAGTATAGTAGGTAAAATTATAATTCACTGTTTCTCTAAATCTTCACACGGAATACTAAACGCCTCATAAGTTTGTCCAACGATTTCTAGTATGGTTAGATATGGTTCGAGATACTATACAATTTTAACTTGCTATTGAATTTCCTATTTGTCTAATCTAAGCCGGGCGTGAGTACCTACCCTACCTCTCTACCCAACCCGTTGTAGTTGAAACACGAGTTATCTATTTAACTATTACTTAATGAAACATCCTGGTTCCGCTGTTCGATTCGGCTAACAT